ATAATAAGTTAGACAGTTATCATGTGGTTTCACTTATTCGTGGAACATAATGAATAGCATGGAAGACATTAGGAGAAGCAAGGGAAAAATGAAGTGGGCAAATCGGAGTGGGATCTGAACCATGAGAGACTATGGATTCCAAGAAGCAAAGTTAGAGTTTTAGAGGGGAGAGTGGTGGGTGATGGGTGAGCCTGTTAATGGGTATTAAGGAGCTCATGGTTTGCATGGAGCACTGGGTCTTACATGCAATGTATCATGCAACACTACATCAAAAACTAATGATGTACTGTATGGTGAGGAACAAACACAATAAAAAAAACATACAAAATAAACCAAAATAGAACACCTTAAAAAAAAAAAAAGAACTTGTGTATTTCATGTATTTTCCCAATGTATTGCCACATATAGTTCATTATATATTTGTTGCTTTTTCCTTTTGCTTGTTTGATATATGTAAGTTTTGCAGTAGTATTCTCTTTTACTATTACTATTGAAACTCAGAAATGCTTAGTGCTTCATTAAGTTCATAGTTTAAAGCATCAGGGTGAGACCTTGAAATAAAATATACCATAGCCACAGTCAATATTCAGTATTTATTCATCTATTCAATCAGGTTTTCATTCAAAAAGTACCATGTTATGTGTTGTAAAATAGAACAGATATTACTATTTACTATATTTCATTCTCTATTCTTTTAAAATTATTATATTAATAATATTATTTTTAAAGTTTCTTATGATTAGATAATTGATTTCAGACATATATAAATTAATGAAAATCATCAATATTTGTATATATATATGTATTTCTGTTTTTAATAGATTTAGCTACATCCCATATATTGTCATATATTTATTATATATAATTTAGTTCTAAATGCTATTAATATGGTATCAGTACATATGCAGTGTAGTAGAAATTCCTTTGAAATTTTTTTTCTTTTGAAATTTGTTGAGACTTTCTTTATGGACCAGTTTATGATCAATTCTGGTGAATGCATCATGTGCGTTTGAAAAGAATACACACACACACACACACACACACACACACACAGTTCTATAAATATCAAGTGTTTCATAATTAGAAGCAAGTAACATTTTAATCACATTTTCAATACTCTCAATTCTTTTTTACTGTTTTCTTAATTTTCTCAGTTGTGGTTTTGGTCTGTTGAAGTTTCTCAGTGTAATTCTGCATTTGTCTCTATCTTCTATTTTGTTATATTTTACCTACATATTTTGGAGCTGTGTTAATAAATGTCCATAGCTCTAAGATTTTTTATATCTTTGTGATGGAATTATCCTTTTTTTCATCATGAAATACCGCCTTTCATTTCTAATAATATTTCTTGATTTATAGCCTACCTTGTCTGATACAAATATAGCTATGTTAACTTTTTTCAGAGTGCTTTCCTGATTTAGCTTTTTCATTTCTTTATTATTCAGTCTTTCCATTGTCTTAAATGTAAAGTTGTATTTATAAAGAATATATAGTTAATTTTTTTATCCAGAATAAAAATTTTTTTCTGTGCTATTTAGTCAATTTGTATTTAGCACACTTACAGACATACTTGTGTTTAAAATCTACATTTTATTTTTTGTTTTGTATTTGTCCTGTATTTTGAATTTCTATTTTTCTTTTCTTGCTTTTCATATGAGTGGAAAGGAAACAAATTATATAGAGGCACTATTAGTTTATTTACAAATAACCATTTCAAAAGGTCAAAAATTGGCACTTTGTTAAAATATTAGAGGTAACATGAAGAAAGGATTGTTTATGTATACATACAAAGAAGATATTTCTCACAGTAAGGTGAAGGTGGTCAACAGGATAGTTATAGAAGATCAAGGTCCAGATGCTTGTTATTATTTAAGAGAATAAACTTAGCAAAAACAAAGACTATCTCTGATTTATTATCTGTTTATTTTACAACACATAACATGGTACTTTTTTGAGGAATAACTGATTGAATAGATGGATGAACGTATTGACTGTGGCTATGATATATTCCAAAGACAGCACGATGGAGTCAGAAATCTTTATTTCAAGGTTTTTCCTGGTGCTTTAAATTATGAACTCAACAAAGCACTAAATATTTCTGACTTTCAACTACTCATCCATGGGGTCATGGTGAGGGTTTAATAAAATAAAGCATTTCAGTTAATTATGAAACTAAAGTTTTTGACACAAATGGTGCCTTATTATTAGCATCTATGGCAGCAATTTTAAGATATATCATTATTTATCAAAACCCATTTATAGTGTTCCAGGATTAAAAACAAAAGTTTTCCTTTAAATGTTCAAATGCACATTAGTTTTTAATTGTTTAACCAGAAATATTTAGATGGCAAAACATAGTGTTTTTTTATCTCTTGTTTCTTTTATTTTTATTTTAATTTTTAAGATTTTATTTATTTATTTGACAGACAGAGATCACAAGTAGGTAGAGAGGCAGGCAGAGAGAGAGGAGGAAGCAGGCTCTCCGCAGAGCAGAGAGCCCGATACGGGGCTCATCCCAGGACCCTGGGATCGTGACCTGAGCAGAAGGCAGAGGCTTTAACCCACTGAGCCACCCAGGCGCCCCAAAGCTTTTTTTAATTTATTTGACAGACAGAGATCACAAGTAGGCAGAGAGGCAGAAGTAGGTTCCCTGCTGATCAAAGAGCCTAATGCAGGGATTGATCCCTAGACCCTGGGATCATGACCTGAGCCAAAGGCAGAGGCTTTAACCCATTGAGCCACCTAGGCACCTCTCTTTCTTGTTTCTTTTAACCATTATAACTATTAGTATACTTCCAATTTATATTATCTCTGTATTTTTTCAAGCATCTATGTTATGTAGAAAAGCTGTTAGTATAGTGATTTAGAGTCATATTGCTGGAATTCAAATCCCAACTCAGACTCTTACTTGCTTACATGTTATATGACTCTTTGTCCTTTGATGTTTCCATATGTAAAATGGGGATAGTATTGGTTTCTACCTCACATGGATTGTTGTTAGAATTGGATAGGTTAGTACCCCCATCATTTTGGACAGTATGTGGAGTGTAGAAGTGCTCAGAAAAGGTTTTCAATTGAAAATTAATATTCATAGTAGTTACCAAGAGACAAATATTCATATTTCTGTTAATATAATCCTCACTTTGTAGTTGAAAAAACAGAGCCTGGATGAAATTAACTGAATTTTCCAGTGATATTCAGGAAGTGGATAGAGGTAGAACTTGAGCCTAGATCTCTGATTGCAAGTTCAATGCCACTGTGCAATGAGTATTCTGCCCTATAGGACATAGGGCTTTTTAAATATTTTTGCATGATAATTGAAAGAACCAAATTAATTGAGGATTCTTCTTGGGAATTCTGAAGACAATTGAAACTAGAAAAATTGAAATAAAAGTTTTTGGTTTTAATTAGTTCATGTTTGTACTTTGTATCAATGCATTTTTTTTTCAATATGTATTCTTGATTGGAGGTAATTGATTGTTTTGGCTCTGGAAGGAGGAATAAGTCTGGCTTCTCAGGCCAAATTTTAATGAAAGCAGATAAAATTACCCTAGGGTTAATTGATAAGGTTTTTGGGGAAGATTGTCTTATTATCTTGGATTACTGCCTGATGAATCTTAGATTCAGGCAAAGAATGGTACAGCTGGAAGGAACTTTTAAGATTTAGGTAACTGAATATTCTCATTTAGTATATGAAGCCCTTAGAGAGTAAGTAACTTACGTATTGTTGCACAGTGATTCAGCTGCGCTAGAATTTAGGTCTACTGATTTCCAGGCTCATATTCTATCTTTGACAACACAACAGGTGCTCAGTAAAATAAGTAACATGCCAGAAGAACCAGTAAAAGAATTAATTGAAAACTTTGTTATATTTAAGGTTAAAGTTTAATTCTGAGTATTCATTTGGAGAAAGACACACTAGAGCTTATTTTAAAGCAGGATATTGCTGTGCTCTTCAGGTGCAATAGAATAGTGATTTCTCAATTTCTGTGTTGCTGTCTATAGTCATCTTTACTCTTCTTCAGATGTTGATTATCTGGCTTGAAAATTCACCATACTCTTTGCTTCTATTTTTTATCCTACCCCATTGTGACAGTTGTGTGAAAGCATAGCCCTATAACTGATTTCACTGCTCATTAGCGTAGAGGTCAAAGAGAGGAGATACGAGGAATGGAAGTCACAGGTACCTAAGTTTATACATATTTTTTTATTTTTTAGAATTAAAATATAATTAACATACAGTGTTATATTAGTTCCAGGTGTACAATGTAATGATTCAGCAATTCTATACATTACTTAGTGCTCATCGAGATAAGTGTACTCTTGATCACCTTTACTTATTCACCCCTTCCTCACCAACCTCCCCTCTGGCAAACTATATTTTTGATATAAGTGATCTGTTGGTGGAGAAAATGGAAATTAATTTCATGGCTGTTAGTGAATTTGTCATTATTCTTATGGAGCAACTAGTTCTAATTTTTGTTTAAAACCTTATTCTCCATATCCTTTAACATGTTCTGATAGAAGTTTGGCGATTACCAAAAGTAGCTTATACTGTGCATAGTACAATGCATACTATTGTTGTGAGAATTAAATTAGAGATAGAAGTAGTTTCTATAAAGCTTAACACAAAATACATGAAATATTATTGTCCTTTTCTCTAACTAAGAAGCTGAAGTTTGGTTGTGATACTTCCTTGGTTTATTGGGGCTTGACACATGCTCCATGGACATCCCAGTGTAATAATCTGTCACTTGTAGCACAAATAGATTTGACTAATAAGTACTCGAAGAGCTGTTTGTACCACAGCATGGACTAGCTGGAAGGCTTCTCTTATCCTGGGCTGTATTCAGAGTTGGCAGCCTTATAGATTGTGAATGCTGAACCTACAAGTACTGAATAATGATAAACGTTGCTGTCAGAGCTCATATTTAAATGTTTGTGCCACTGAGCTGCCTGAACTTCTATTAAAACACAGTTCTTTTGATTTTTATCACCAGGTAACCTTGGACGGGTGGACCAGGTCTCTGAATTTGAGTATGACTTATTCATTAGGCCGGATACCTGTAATCCACGCTTCCGAGTCTGGTTCAACTTTACTGTTGAAAACGTGAAAGAATCACAGGTGAGGGAAGTGTTGGATATCTTCAGTGTGGTTTTGGTAAGAGTATTATGCTTTTGTTTTACATTAAAAATCTCAATATAATGACTAGATTAGGAGTATATTCTTGTGTATCTCTAGCAATGATATAGTTTTAACAGATATAAACAAATATGTATAATATGCTGTCTTTAGTTATCTGGTGGTTATTAAGTAATACAAATTAGATTATCTGAGAACAAAAAGTGTTCTTTACTGATTAAAGAATTAGTATAATATGCTGGTTTCCTCGAGGAACCCTTTGGAAGTGACTTGCTCTTATGTTTCTTATAGAGTGTGTTCTCTGTATTTTTTTTTTAATAAATATCTATAAAGTACATTTCTCATAGGCCTCAGTTTCAGAAAAAACTTTTCTTCTTTTGTAGAAGAAGGTGTTTATTTATATCTTAAAAATAATATGATTCTTATAACTTGCCTTATCCCCCCCCTCCTTTTTTTTAATCTGTTGGGAAACTCAGGTCCAGTTTTATAGTACTTGCTAAGGATACTTAAAAACTTTTTGGTTTATATTTCTGTATACTAATTTTTCTTTCATTCTGATCATCTTAATCTGTCTTTAACCACAATTTCTTCATCTATATTTTCTAACAGTGTTTGTTTTTTATGATCCTGTTCAAATATTTTGAGTGAGAGTATTGATGAAAATAGAAGTAAATGCATATGCCTTAATAAATACCTAATCCTAAGAAGTCATTTATCATTCTGTAATATTAAGATATCTAGTCATGGAAGACTGCACAGACTTTGTACATACAGTGATACGATTTTTTTAAGTAGATGAAAGCATAACCCTATGACTGAATAGCTAGCTATCTGCCTTCTTCCTTCACGGTCATCTTTTTCTAGTATACTTGGGAGAAAGGGAGGGTTGGTTTAATTTTCCCTCCCAAGTCAGCCCATCCTGTTTGCTCTTTCAGTTGGCTGCTTGCTTCTCTCCATTTTCCTCAACTGCAGTTAGATTCATGTGTCTGGCAATGGTCATTGTCTGGAATTTAGAGACTGTTACTGGCATGCTGCCTTCAGCAGGAGAGGGGTGCAAGGAACAGTCACTCCAATTTACTGTTGATTCTCTTAATTCTCTACAACACCACTGGCACATGATTCTTTGTAATGACATGGGTGTATATAATGTTTAATGAAGTAAAGGCTAATTGGAAGGAATTAAATAGATGGGAGAACTCTATATTGTTGGCTAAACATGATTTAGGATGAGTGGGAAAAATGTTAAATCCATCACAGAAAACTGCTCAAGGACATACTTTGGTTCCTAGCTTTTCTTCTTAGTTTTACTTACTCTCCCATGAGAGAATTCCTTTTTCAGCTTTTCATAGTAAGAATGACAATATTCTCCCCTTCACCCACCATAGGAAAACCTACACTTTACCTGACCAGAGGTTCACCTGACAGTAGGATTACCCTCTTGTTCCAACAAGACAATTAGTAATTATCAAAATGCATTTCCAAGTCTATATTACTGAGTCTTAAGAGTACAACTTACAGCAGGAGAATTTAGGCACATCTACAACACTCAGTCTTGGCTCTTCAACTTTGGGTCCCCTGTCAAGTCTCTCTCTGCTTCCATGAGAAAGACATACAACCTCTTGTTCTTCGATTGGTGTCTCACGTCAGTAACTTATGGTTGTAACGTACACCACTGAAAAACAATAATAATATATTATTATATTATTAATAATAATAATAAACAATTCTGAAAGCAATATAGTCAATTCATATGAAGGAAGGGAGACATTTTCTTAGAAGCACTATAACCTGCCAGAATTTCTAATTTCCCAAAGGGGTTTACTGATTTCCTCTTTTTGCACACAACACATGCACATCCTTCAGCTTGCATATTACAACCAGGAATTAACTAAATCCTAAGAAATGAGACCTATTACTTTTCAAACAATAGAATCCTCTATCCTAATTATATCTTTGCTAAATAGAGACTTTTAGCTCTAAAATTATTATGGTTCTTTAACTTTGGGCCACATTAAATTCTTAGCCCAGTTTTTCCTTGCACTTTAATCTCTGTACAAATAATATTCTTACATAGCTACTCTGGTCAGGAGGAGGGGTGGGGAATGGTTTAACTAGACAGGGAAAATGTTTTTCTTTATTTTCTCTTTTCGGGGAAGGGGTAGGGACAGAGATAGAGGGAGAGAAGGAATCTTAAGCATGCTCCATGCCCAGCGTGGAACCCAACACAGTGCTTGATCTCACAACCCCTAGATCATGACCAGAGCTGAAGTCAAGAGCCCATCACTTAACCGCCTGAGCCATCCGGGTTCCCAGGAAAATTTATTTCTTGTTATACTATCTGAGATAGTTTTTTGGACAGGTTGCTCATAAATTTCAGTTTCTTGTTCTTTGCTCCTCTAGTTGCTTACAGGTATGTTCTTTTTGTTGTTTAAAATGTCTCTCCAGAGTGTTACAATTTTTATACTATATGGTAAAGTCATACACTCTCTTTTGCTGTCTTGCCTATCAGTTAAGCAAGTAACATGAATGTGTTTCAAGAGATTATTATAATAAAAGAGTTGGTGTTGTTTTTATGAACACTTATTTTTAGAGGTAGAGGAACCAATATTTACTTGATTCTCTGGGCTTCTATCTTCATATCCAGTGCTATTCTACTCTTGTGTCAATTGAAATTATGAACATGTTTATCTGGTTTCCTGGTGTGTGATGCTTTATCAACCTCTTTCTTTGGGCCATTGCTTGCTGTACTCACATAATTTAGTTATGGAAGTCTGTCTCAAGATGGCATAAATATGATCTGCTAGAAAGATACGATATATATCTTTCACTCACAGGATATTTGTTTTCATGGTTGTCTACGTGAGAGAGAATGGTTTTACGATTAAGTTTGACCTGTGAGGTCTGTTTTTATAATGTCTCTTCCTATCATCTTTTCCATCTCTCTAATTTCCGTTAAAATGAGACCTTCATGAATGTGATCTAGTCAGGAGCTTTATTTAGGGCTTAGTACTAGCAAGCAAAAGAAATATTAGTCTGAGTTCATTAAATGAATGTTAAAAATTAGAGCATCAAATATACCATACAAACAGGTCTACCTTTTTGGTTATTTCCCTTGATATTTGTAAGAAGTTATAAAACCTTGGAATATGTGGTTCTGTATCCTAGGACTGATTTCTAAACCCCCAAAAGTGGTTGCTAAATAGTGTGTTTGCAAGAGTCTATGTAAACTAACATAAATATATTTTTATTAAAAAGTAATTTTCTCTTTGAGAAACTTGTATTAAATATTCTTATATGTAAATTTATTATTGATGCAACAAAATACTTATGTGATGTGAAAACAAATCTATTTAAATACTCATGACAAAATTTCAACCAATAAGAGTGGGAAAATGATATGTCTTGACTTTTCAACTGTTTTCTTTCCCTCATACAGTTTTTATCTCTTTGAATTAATTTTTGCTTTTTTTGATTCACTGATGCTCAATGTAATAAATTTGGAAAATATACACAATTATTATAAGCAGAGAAAAAGCACATACACATAATCAAACTATCTAGAAACACATTAACTTTTTGGCATATTTACTTCTAGACTTTTTATTTCCTACTTTACTTTTTGGAGCATAATTAAATTTTTTAGCATATGCAAATTTTTATGTTTTGTTTTTAAATTAAGTAGTATCACAAGCAATTTTCTATCACTAAAAACTTCATAAACATGACTGTACAATAGTTTTTTACTATTGGACCATTTCCTTACTCTTGGGCATAAAGATTATTTTCCATTATCTGTTGTTATAAATAACATTGTAGGGAATATCCTCGTATATGAATTGTTACCCATATTTCATTTTGCTTACTTAGGATAAATTCCTAGGAGGGCAATTGATAGACGAATGGTGTGAATATTTTTTAATTCCTGATACATATATATTGCTAGTACAAAATTTATACTGTTTTACTGTCCTATCAGCAATGAGATGCTTTTCCTTGCAATTCTTGCTTTGGATTGTTTCTTGAGTTCAGTATTTCATATATTAAGAATAATTTTTTTAATCACTTACTTTGAACTTTTACACAAATAAATGTGATATAATGCAGTGTTTCAGGACTCTTGTCATAAAGGAATTAATTACATTCCAGCAACAACATGAGATAACAAAAATGATCCATTTATTGTTTTGGCTCTTTTTCTCAATTCAGCAATCCTCTTTAGTTTGGGTGTGCCAACCAACTGTCCTCTGAGGTCTGTAATGGAAAATTTTAAAAAAGAAGTTTTTTTTTTTTTTTAACAGTGAAGTATTTCTTACATTACTATAAGCAGTAATGTGGCTTAAACACAAACACACTTTTCTATATAACATGTCTAATTTGGACTTCAAAATTCTAACAGTTTGCTGCTTCTTTAGTCTCCATCCTGGAGATTTTTGGTACAGTGAAACTTCATCCTGGCCAAAATCAACAGTGCACAGAGGCAGCTTATCATAGTAGAAAGAATACAGACAATGGATTCAAATACATTTGGGTTTAAATCCTGATTCTGATACTTGTGAGTCGTTTTACCCTTGATCTGTTAAATTAATCTCTTGGTGACTCAGTTTTCCATCATCATCATCAAACAGATTGTAATGGTTATGAATATAGATTCTATGTTAGGTAGGGCTGAATTGTAAGCCTACCTTTGACTTATTTCACTTACCTTTATACCCTCTAGATCCATCCATGTTGTTGCCAATAAGATTTTGTTCTTTTTTTATGGCTGAATAATATTCCTGTGTGTGTGTGTGTGTGTGTGTGTGTGTGTGTCTGCATGTATCACATCTTTATCCATTCATCTGTCGACAGACACTTGGGTTGCTTCTGTATCTTTACTGTTGTAAATAATGCTGCAATATGTTTAGGGGTGCAAATATATTTTCAAATTGGTCAATGAAAGAAAAATACCATATGATTTCAGCCATGTGTGAAATTTAAGAAGAAGAAACAAATGAATAAAGAAAAAAAAAGAGAAAAAT